TTTCTCGCGGTTTTACGTCCTGCACACACGTTCCACGGTATGTCCGCTGTGAGCGAGAGTACGCGTGTTCGTGTGGCTCCCTGACTTTTTAACCTCTCTCCGAGAGGCTCCCGCAGACTGATTTATGTTTACCAGGGCCAAGAGGGAGGTGGAATTCGGTGACCGCTTAACTTGTTCTCGTTCTTTCACCGTTCTTGGAAACTTGTTTGCGTTATCGTCGCAGAGGAACTTCGCTTGATGTTCTTTGAATTCGATTAAAGAATTCTTGAGCTGGCTGACGGGCTTGAGTAACGGTAGTTATTTAACAAGTGGCTTAAGTCACGAAACGAAGCATTGTTAGAAGGTAGGTACGTGACAATGTATTTTAGGAATGGATTTGCTTGTTACAATGGATATATCAATTACTTTATATAATTGATATATCTCCTATTTTCTGTACAATTACAAAGATATGATTAAAAAAAGTTTCACTAAAGTAAATAAACTAGAGTTGCTCTTTGATAATACACGTTACAAGTATAGCGAAAGTGTAGAAGATTAACGACATTTTCCATCCAGTACGACGATTTTAATTGTAATAAAATCGTGCCAGTCTTTTTCTTCCAATATATTTCCGAAGATGTCAAACGAGGAGCCTGGAACAACGATCGTGAGTTCAGCATCGGTTAATAAATCCCTGACAACGCGTGGCTCGGCTGAAACAATCCCAGCCTCCGGTTCTGACTCCTACTTTTGTCCAGGAAATTAGAGTCATCGCGACGTTGTTTGCCCGACGAGAGGCAGCGGCGTCATATTTCACGCACGAGCGAAACTTGAGAATCGTAATTGAACGCGAGAGGAAACTCCCTCGTACTGGGAAGGAGGGAAGATTCGTTGGACACATCCGACGTCAAGACGAGCACGGGCATTAGGGAAAAAGTTATTCTTATTACCAGGCTGGGTCACACGTGTATATTATTGCCAAGAAGTTATCTCAGTTCTCCGCGGCGACGGACCAGCCAGAACGTGCAACTTTTTCGATACTTTCTTAACGACGATCTCGCGTCGCTTTCATAACCTGCCGTAGACATGCATTGTCTAAAATTCGGTCATCTTTGGCGATTGTCGTGACACCGATACAGATCTCTTTTTACCGGTATATAGACCGGCGACGTCATATTAGTGTCATACGAGTATGATAACGTATGGTTAGTACATAATAAATTCGTAGTTTCATAAACTCAAGTAGGGAAACTGAGCGAAAATTTTTGTACCCTTAAATTTAAAATACTGATAATTTTCTTGAGAATTTAGCTTTCTATTTCTAGAACAAGCCTTATGACATAATGCGTATCGTCTTTTGACGTAACTGCAAAGTCACGAATTGCAAGGATGCTGAAACGCCTGAAATGCCATCGGGTAGTAAATTCAATTCTATTCGCTTCAACTTTTAAAGCGCTTGGTGTTTGTTAAGTAATTTTTTCATCGGGTTTCTTTTATCAGTTCGGAAATGTTTCGCTAGGATCCAAGGAAAAGCAACGAACGTAAAAGATCTATCAAATACATGCTTCTTACGAGGTAACCTCTTCCTGGAAGATATTCCCTAAGAATGGGAAAGTAGTTAAAGGGAGCATCACGCGGACCGTTTCATAAAAGAACGGATGGTCCTCTTTTTCTTTATATACAAAGCCTAACGTTTTACATCGCAGGAAGAATACGCTCGCTATGTATAGTCAGCAACTGCGCGACAAGATCCCGCGTTAAAGTTTTTATATTGTACAAGACTGTCATATTATCGGCCGTTAATGCCACGTGTTATAAGTTATAGCAATAAGAGTGCCCTACACGGTTGAGTAGTCCGCGTTTATAGCTCCTTATGAAAGTGTTCTATTAAAAGGACGGATGCTGTTCTTAATATGTGAAACGAACAGTGAGAGAACGATGGTCGTAAATGATGTGCCATAAAGTGCTTTATTTTGTAACATCACGCGGAATCGTCATTGTGTTTTTCGATAAACGAGGATTGCTCCAAAATCGAAATAAACGCAATTTATTCACGTAACAATTCTCAGCTCGTCATTTTTCGTTGTAATATTGAATGGACAAAATTTGTGCGATTTAAATAGGTTTTGAGATTTTGACGCACTATAATCATTTCGTGATTTTTGCCGCTACTCGCGTTCCTTTATCGTCACTGGGAAATTATTCAAAATAATTTCAATGCCATTTTTACGATATTTCGAAATTATTGAGGATTATTCGTGGTCGGTCAAAGGTCGTTTCGAGGATAACTCATTTTAATGCACTTGTGAATCATTTGGAATCAGTTTGCCAATATTCATAGTGTAAATAATCAGTTCGTCGTACTAAAGATATATCTGGTTCATTTACGATTAATCAAATCAATCGTTTCAAAGTAAACTAATTTCCATGGAATTGAAAATTACTCAAAGGCACTGGAGCCACGTCTAGTAACATCTAATCAATTAACCAATTCCGTGTCACGCTGCGATTGGAACTAAAAACCTGCCTTGCGATTCTCCGAAGTCAACAGACATCGAATTCCAAACTAATACCACAACAGCGATCAAACTTCGATTAAAGTGAGTTTCGAGTCTCACGAAATTTTAGCTTCCCCGCTACGGAGGTGTACGTTTCTGGCGGGGGTTGAGTAGGGTTCGTTAATTCGACGCCAAGTTTTCCGATTCACTTACGGTTTGACAAGTCCGCCACGTTCCGGGCGCGCCTACACGCGAGCGAAGAAGGAGTAGTCTGAAGGGTCGGTGAAACAAAACATCGTAAAGCACCCTCTCGTCTGTAGAGGATGCGACCTGTTAGCCCGGCATTCAGGCAAGTGAGAAAAGTGGCTGTTAGAGGTAGCCGGCGATGCATAAGGACTCGTTTCCAGAGGACAAGTTATCCGTGCCATTGAGATTTATTCGAGGTAACCGTCCATGTCATAATACATGTGTCAGCGTGTAGAAAATATCTCCTAAACTAATTGTTTTTTTTTTTTCATACATAATTTAACGTTTTTATTATGAAAATGACGAAGCTGCATCCATTATTGCATATACGCTTGTTGGTACGTTAAATGTCTGACTAGCGGCTAATTCTATATATACATACCTATGACGCACAGATGGTCTGACTAACAATTGATTCTACTTATGTACATGACACCGAGACCGTCTGACTAATGGTTAACTCTACTGACGTATACGATGCTTTAATTGTCTGTCTAATGGTTAATTCTACTACCGCATATGGTACGTTAATTGTCTGATTTGCAATTAATACTACTGACACATACATCGTGTCGATCGTCTGACTAAAGATTAATTCCACTTACGCAAACGATGTCCCGATTGTCCGACTAACTGTTAATATTACTGATTCATACGGTGCGCCAATTGTCTGACCAACGGTTAACGGATTGTCTGGTGGTTAATTCTACTTACCCGTATGGTGCATAGATTGTCTGACTAACGATAATACTACCGATATATTCGTGTATGCTATAGTGTGCATAACGTTGCTAACTTGAGCGCTTAGCTTTTTCCAACGAATTTTTTTCACATTTCTAAGAATAGCATGGATGGTCTGTTGAAAGTAATTTAAAGTTATTTTACTATCGTATATATATAATATTTCGTTGTCGAATAGCCACGCATTCGAAACGAACAGCAGCAACGGAGTATCACGTTTGCGTTTTTTGATAAACTTTCGACTAACGGGAATTTTTAGTTGCTCTTAATTTCGAGGCCGGCTCGTTCTCGCACCACTGCCTCTCGTTCGCCCATCCTCCCGGCTCAGCGCCGCTGAAATCGACGTGGTTCAAGTGGTTTTCAACGTTCTCCCAGAACCTGAATATTTATTTGCTCTTCCACAGAGATGTTGACCCGGAGCGTTTGAAATTGAAACGAACGTGGCAGCCGATGGTTTCTGGACCGTGTAAAAACCTCTGGTGTAACCGACGGATATACGTTGCATGAACATTTTTTCCCGCACCTCCTTCATTCGGTGTCGGCTTGTCTATTGTTACCAGTGTGGTATTTACTAAGCTTGAACAAGTAGTGTTAAATTAGATAAAAAGTAGAAATGACAGGTAATTACCTACAGATATTCCGTGTATAATTATCAAACGAAAGCTGAGAATACGATTGAATGCTATTCAAATCATTTTTATCGATGAATTTTTCGAGATGCTCCTTTAATAAAAAGGAAGTGATACCAATACCTGTTCAGAATATTTAATTACTCGGGTTATCTCATCTGTACGTAGGACAGGGTCTTCCAAGATCGATAGCAGCTTGAATGTGTACGGGATCGGATAATTGAGTGGTGGATACCTCTCGAAATTCCCATGGAGACGTCCTCGTAGCGAGTAGCTCTCCCTTGATTACAGAGACAGCTGATTGATGCTTCGGGGTACGATCCAGCTAGCTCGATCGACCACCTTAAGATCACTCGCTGTTCTTTGGACTATGAAATTTCGGTTTCGATTCGCCGCCGCGAATGCGACAGACGTTACGCGTCATCTATATTTCTCTTCTCTGATTGCGAACCCTTCCGTGATTGCGAAAAATCATTTCTTATTTATTGGCGAATGGAATGGATGGAATTCAGTTCTTCATTTTACCATTGGGAAAATATTATGTGTGTCATATCTGTGTGTACACTGATTTCTGGGAATAAAGAGACGAATTTTGGAGAAAATATATTTGTACAAGTACCTCTCAATTATTTTTAAGACGATTTAATAAAATACATGCTGACTACGCGGTGTTATCTCCCAATTTATATTCTACTATATATCATATCCTGCTATCTTTCCTAAAGTTTCTTCCTGTTCAAAGGTACAAAGAACTGTTTTCCATTTTTCCCCAACTACCACCTCTTTTTGTACCTGAACGCTATGTACGTATAACTTGGCTACGAATTCCAATGAATTGAATATTCTACAAATTTGCACGCTTCGTTACAGGCAATTTCGCTGATGTGTATCCTTATGTTGGCAGATGCTGCAGTGATGGACGGTGAGGGTACGCTGGGCCGCGGTCACGGAAATGGGGGCCGTGGGCTGCGCCGTCAACGGTCCCTGGAATGGCGAGAGAGGCGCGGTTACGGGCCCAGTGCCCAATCGAGCAGCGACGACGAGGAAAATTCCCGTCACGCCGTTGGTGCCGCGTCCGTTTCATCCGCCGGTAGAGGCGCTCGCAGCCCAGGCCAGGTCTTCGCCTCCCTCTTGGCGCAGCAGTATGGAAGTGAGTGATGATATAATTGATGTTTAATGCCTTGATCGAAAGCCTCGCACCAGCCGTACGGGAAAAAGTTTGGCGGATGTAGGTGGCCGGTATTCGTCGAGGTGCCTGTGTTTGGGCAAAGGAACGCTGTTTGATGGGAGTTGCCGTGAAACGTATTGGGAGGGAATTGGTAATTTATCGAAGGGACTACGGATTTCCAGGGTAGCAGCAGGGAAAAGTATTGCATCGCCGTGATTGATTTTATTCTGCCCGGAATATCAGTTTCCTTTGTCCGTCTGAGATCCTTTGGAATTTCTAATGGTTTTTCTAATTGATTGTGCCATTGGAATAAATAAGGAACAGCGATAGTATATGTTGTCTTTTAATGTTACTTTTTAATCGATCGCTTATTAAAGGAGGAATCGATAATTGATAGTAATTTTAAAAAGATATATTCAAGTTGTTCTTAATGAAACGATGCTTCTGCGGTTTAAACACGATTACAAATATCTCTAACTTAATGACAAAAAAAAAGAAAGAAACTTAAAAGAAATTAGAGCCGGCGATTTGAAGCAAAGTGAAACACTACGATAATCCTATACAAATATCTACAACCAGCGTAAAAAAGGATCTCACAACGAGAAGTACAACCGTTATCTTCATTAAGCGGAAACACGGTTCGCGACTCATCGAGCCCGTCCGCCTCCTAGACAAAAGAAATTAACGTAACGATTCGACTTCTAAGGCGTAGCTCTGATTGGATGACCCTTCGTTCGGCCAGTCTTCCGGCTGGATTCAAACGAACTTTAACGAGCGACTTAATGAGCAACCTATGAACTTTCAATTGCAACAATTAAATCGGCCGCGCGAAACGAACAGGTCGGGGAAATAGCCGCGCGAACAGGCGCGATCATCGAGTAATGGCCTGTCGAAGCGAAGAGAGAGCTTCGTTCTGGACGCGGCTTAACGATACACACTGGCTGACTGACGGCAACTTTTTCCCCTCTTTTTTATTTCTTTCGACTCGATCTGCCGCTGCCAATAATAAAGTTCACGGTGGCTCGTTCATCATATTCCATCAAACAGGCGCAGACCACGCTCTCGGCCATTCGGTTCAGCCTTCCTCTCCTCCTCCACCTCCTGTTCCACCGCTTCCCGCTTCCATAATCTTCCTTCGACTCCCTGGCAAACGCGTAGATTAAAGGATTTACGAAATTAGTTTTACTTCCTCGCGTCGTCTACGAGCGCGGCCGGATATTAAGTTCGGAGGCGAAATCCCAGATTGCCAAGCGTGGGGTGCTCGCAGCACCGCGTCGTGGACCGTGTTCCAGTAAACAATATCTTAAAAATGCAGCGCTGCCCGCTTACCATCCGCATTTGCATCTTGGTTAATACAGGTATTCCGTGACCACCAGTTGTATCTCTACTAAACAAGACTTTATAAAAACTTGGTTTCCACAATATGGAAGGAAAATAAATTGAATTTAGACCTCCTGATTAATAATAAAATACTATGGATCATCGTGATATAATCTTGTAGTATTGGAATCGTCATAATAAAAAAGAGTGAGATTCCAGCTCAACAATTGTCGATGCTAAAAGGACACCTTTGTATTTTCGCATGCACGACATTTCATCGAACGAATTAATCTCGTTCCGTGTAATTTCGCCCAAAATTTGTATCAAATTGGTAGTAACTATCTTTACTCAATGAGATCGATTTTAGGGCATAGATTGACGTGGTGCGTTTAGAAACGAGGTTTCAAACGATGCGATCGATATTTGGATGGATATTTTCAACGACTCTGTATCCACGGATAATTATCCGTATATGATTATACCATTGCTTTCGTTTGCGATTCGTTTGCGTATTCCGTGTATCGATTACGCGATTCGTTTGTGGTACGCCGTATAAATATCACACGCCACATAACTGCATTATCATTGACGGCTTATTTGGATTACTACTTACGCAAATAATAGTTTAATATCGCGCGTTCCGGTTGCATGACCATTATTTGACCTCGGATACGGCCGGTTATCCCGATTAAATCTACAAATTCGTACCCTACCACCTTCATCGTCGTATAATCTTTGTCCCATACACTGTGAGCGTGTCGTAATCCTCGCGTTTCAACAAATCTTGGATAAACTACTCTCCCGTGTGCTTTCTGCGTATATTTAATCTTGCTGGTTTAATAAACAACAGCGTATTTTGATGGAAGAATAATCTGCTGTGTAGAAACTGTAAGTTATTGTATTAAAAATGAACCTACTTTATTTAAGAAGTAAAAGATAAATCTGTAATGGTAAAATTAAGAAACGTGTAGCCCTAAACGATCAAATTGCAACGCACTTGTTGTACCATCTTTTCTAATCACGATAATTGTATATCGTACACATATAATATTCGTTTTGTATAACTCTGGTCGAAACGAAATTTTAGCTAGTGTCTGCTCAAATGAACTTCTGCTGATTGAATTTATTTACTTGAACGTAAACTATTCAAACTATGTGAACGTAAGCTATGTGAACGAGAAATTGTAGATACCATTTATTTATTTGAATAAAATGTTCGGATTGAATGACTTTCTGTGGTCTGAATTATCTTATCTGTACAACGAAGTCGTATTAAATGAATCAAAATGAATTACAAATCGAAAGAATCAGCGACAAACATCAGCATATAAACCTGGTGTGCAAGTCAACGCGTTAATAGATTAAAGCTACTTATATCGAGACACGCGAAATGTCAGAAGGTTTCGTCCGATCCGAGTCCACTTCCGACCGCTCTTCGCGCGATCCTCGACACGACTTGCCGTTTCACTTCTCCCTTTGGAACGTTTCATCGATTCGTCTTGAAACCGGACAAAATAGACGAGCAAGATGGAGAAGGGGGTGGCCAGGTTACAAGGGACGAAAGGGGCGAACTCAATTAATACCAGTGCTCGGTTTATACTATATTTCTTGGTTGCGGTATCAAGCGAGCCAGCAGCCCACCTCGCGTCTGTCTGCATTTGTTCCAATTCACTTGCTGCCGATTACCGCTCCCTCCCGGCCTGGATACGCCGCTCAGTCTCGACCCCTCATCGCCGTTCCCCATTTTCATCCCTATTCTCCCATTTCCTCTCCGTTCCCATCCCCTTTCCGCCCTGTCCCTCTTTCAAACCCCCTCGCTGCTGCTGTTTGACTCGACTCGTTCGGTTCGACCAGTCTCGATTCGTCGCGGCACAGTGTCACGTAACCACACTCGAAGCGTGTCGAAAGAGAGCCACCGCCTGTCGGTCGCAAAGGGATTCGACTTGTGCCAGTAGCTTCTTTCCTTTCGTTATCGATGCTTCGTACATACTATACAAAGATGAGAAGACGAAGCTCAATGTTACGCGTTGCTATATCGCACACGTATTTCGAAAGTAACACAATTTTAAATAATGCAGTCTTATGTTAGAAGAACATCAAGAGTCGTTAAAGAAGGATTTCAGGAGAATGAACAATTTCAACAATAATATTTGATCATAGTTCCTTACAGACTATTCCTTTGCCAACGTTCAGTTGCTTAGTAACAATTTTTTGTAAGATTTGAAATAGCTTCTCGTTTCTCTTAAGAAAATTTGTTTGAGTTATGAAACTCCTTTGCCTAGCCAAGTCATAGACGCTCGATTCTTTTCGCTCTTCTTATCGTCAGGACGTATACGTAGACGTATTTGGATCGATATGACGGATACAACGTACGAAACACGTACGACGCTGAAGATAGAAATGGTTGTTGCGAGACACGCTTGATTGCCACACTCCAGACGCCGCGTCGCCTTGGAATCACGCGGTTAATTAACTTCACGACCGGCTGCGTCGCACTCGAGTACCGAGAACGATAATTGATGAGCGCTATGGATCACGTAAACGCGATCTGTTTCCTGTCGCGAGATACCCAGGTGGCGTTTGGATCGAAGTAAAATCCTTAATCAATAGCGTCTTCGTATAGCTACACAAACCCCTCTCAAGATTTATATTACGTAGATATTATGCCAAATTTTCGAACAAAGTAGATATAACATGATATTAATTATCGATATCCTGAATTTAATAAGGAAAACTATTTATTCCTCGTATTCCTAAAATTTCTCGTTTAAATCACCTTTAATCAACAGACACTACTAACGAATAGATCGCATGCCTCTAATGATAAGCACTTAAATTAAATTGCAAGTTCTAATGGTATATTGTCTGAATAGAATGTACCTTATGCAAACTTGATACAACTTCATAGAAATTGATACGAGATGCGACAAATTTAACATGTATTAGGTTGTCCGAAAAGTTTCTTTCGTTTTGCAAGGAAATAATAAACGCACAATGCTGTTTGTTTTATATTAGTTTATTGAATTATGCACGAACGTAATAATAGAAGTAGAACGAAATGGATCATACCTAATTCAATAAAATAATATAAAACAGAAACGAGAGAAACTTTTCGGGCAATCTAATATCTTGCAAAGTAAAACATTCTTACGAAGAATGATAGACTCGTCCAGGACGCTATATAAATAATCATATTTAATTGAGTAGACAATTAACTGTCTGAACGAAACCGTGTCACTATCGCTGCGGGTCTAAATGGGTAATATAAACGAACCTTAACGCGGTGAACATACACAAGGCTGACATGACCTGTTATTAAAGCTTTACTCGCTCTATTCGAGGCGAGAGATCGTAAAAAGTGTTTCGATCCGTGATATAAGACGAAGAACGTGCGACAATGCGGGTTTTACGAACGCGGCTTCCACGGTAACAGGCCTGTCAATCGTCCGTAACGCGATCTGCTACTTACGCTTTCACGGAACGTAACGGTGATACCTAATAAAGTGTCCACGGATTATTTTTCACCGAAGGACCTCCTGCAGAGAGCCTTTGAATCGACATCACCATTAACGCAATATAATCCTCCTGTCGGACACCATATGTATGGAGAGCCAGCGGTGAGAAAATACCGCTCGGAGATCAGCCACTAGATAGCGGGTTCC